CATCCATTTTCTGGTGCCTCTGACTACCTTAGATCTCCCTAACCTCTCTGGATCATTGGCTGGGTAACTGATGAAAATGATGGCTTTTCTCCAGAAAAAATGCCCAGCTATGGAATCTGCAGACAGTGCCCTAAGGGCCACAGAAATCCTTGCTCCACTGCCTCCATCTGCAGCCCAGTTCTAGCCTTCTGCAAGATGCCTGCCCCTTTCTGCCTCACCCACTTCCTTCCGACCTCTACCCCACTATACTCACCTACTCTATCACCTCCCAACCACTAAGTATCTCTTTTTGCTCTTCTTGCTCCATCTCTGGGGACAGGTGCCTGATCCAGACAAGCTAGGCAGGAAACAACGGGTGGTTAAACAGTGGAGAAGGGGGCGTGGGGTGGCTACTCTAAGCTCAGCCCCAATTAGGGCAGGACTAAAGTTAAGCTCGGGTCCTAAGGTGGAGCCTAGGGAAAAACTTTGGAGTTTGAGACTTGGGCATCCCCTGGTGGCCAAATGGCCCCAAATGGAAGATAACACCCTGTGGAAGACAGTAAGGAAAACACCATCCATCACAGCCATTCTCTCTCTTACCCTTCTCTCTTTCTCTCTCTCTCTCTCTCTTGCTTTCTCTCTCTCTCTCTCTCTCTCTCACACACACACATACACACATACGCACACACATACACAATCACAAGACACATCCCCAGAGTTTTTCTCCTTTTTTAATCAATGACCACCTTATCCAGCTTTGGAAACCTGGACAAAGAGGAGGCTGTGAAGAGGCCTGGTTCAGTGTCTGAGGGTCTCTGAATGAGTCTGTATCAGCAGGTGGGCCCCAGCTGGGCCTGTCCAGGGGTTCAGCACAGCAGTTTCCTGAGTAAGAGCCAGCCCCACCCTCAGGGCAGCACCCCCGTCCATAAAGAAATCAAGGCCCTTCAGGCTTCAGCCTTTTTCTAAGGCCCTCAGGACAGTCAATAAATAGGTTAGATTCTGAGCCAGGCCTGGGAGGAGGGAGTGTACAAAGGACAGGATCAGCTTCCCAGGGATCCCAGTGATTCCTAGGTATTATCCTGCCCTTTCCCAATAAGGAAGTAAATAAATAGACCTCCAACTCAGAAACAGGGACATTGGAACAGGGGAACCCTCCCCTTGGAGTTAGTAATTAAGTCTCATGTTAAAAACAAACCAGCCCCAGCCCCTGCCAGTGTCTACAAAATCCTACAGGATGGGGTGAAGGGCTAGCCTGCTTGGGGGTACACGGTACCCAGCCCTGCAGGGTCCTGGCGGTCTCATGTCTGTTCTGCAGCTCCTGGGGCTCCCTCCTCCTTTGGGGGTGGCTCCAGGAAAATCGGGGTGATTGACGGTGGCTTCTTCACCCTGGGAAGATAATAGGAAGTCATTAGCTATGTCCCCTAATCCCACCAGTCTCCCATTTCCAAGGGCAGAAAAGAGTCACTCACGAGTAGGGAGAGGCTGGGACCCCCACTACCAGGAAGTGGTTCTTCTTGCGAAACAATCTCCACAGGCCCCGGTGGTTGCCACGCACATCCAGGTCCCAGATATGGAGGCACTGGTGGGGGTGATGTAGGAGGAGAGGCATGGGTCGGAGAACAGTGGGGAGGGGCTACTGAGGTCCCCTGGCCCAGCCCCCACCCCTCCTCAGCAGCCTCCTCAATTTGCTAGAGGCAACATCTTCTAGAATATGGGTTTGGGTGAGGGGTTCGGAGTGTATGAAGAAAAGGTTCTGAGGTAGAAGATCCCAGAACCAAGGCTCCCTGTATCTTGGGGAGTATTCCTAGGGTAGGTGTGGTATTGGGGCACCTTGGCAAGCTGGGTCCATGTGGTGAAGTCATCATCTCTCTCCATCCGGATAAAGGCCACGTAGGTGCGGCCCTCTGTGTCTGGCAGGAAAGAGTCTTCACAAGGGTTCTTGCTATGGTCCAGAACCTCAGCTTCACTGCAGCAGGGGTTGGGAGAAAAAGGCCAAGACAGGGCCTGACTCATGGGTGTACCACACAAGGCCCCATGCTTATTTGTTGCCATCTTGAAATTCTTAATACTTTTTGAACACAGGTGCCTGATTTTCATTTTGTACTGGGCCCCATAAATCATGAGGCCGAAACCACCCGTATTTGACTCCTCCTCACTCTCTGCCATATACCCCTACTGTTGTCCTAGGCCATACCTGAGCAGCCTGTGAACTTCCACTTCATAAGCTTCCTTCTTCAGACTGAAGGAGAGGAAGAAACAGGTCAGGGAAGGGGATAGCCCCTCAAGTCCCAGGGGCAGGGCAAGGGGTCACATGCGAACTGGGGACAACAGGGCCAGGGTAAATACACAGTTGGAAGGGACTGTGAAGTACTGGTCATCAAGGCTCCTACATATCCTCCCCTTTGCCTTGTCCCCAGCCCCTACCTGTCCACGTTCCTGAACTGGACGCCTGGAACCGTGTTGAACTTGTGCTTCTTGAAGTAGGCCTCCTGGAGTGGGTATGCGGATGAAAATCAGGGCCTCACATGGTCTGGCCCACACCTGCCCACTGACCCATCACATAGCCACAAGGCCCACAAATGCAGGCCCCGCTAATTTCCTCCTATCTTCCCCTCCTCTTTGCAATAATATTCTTGGCAGGCTCTCACTACCTTTAATTTGGGCTCAAGCATTGCCAGGGAGTTCATGTCCACACTAGCAGCTCATGCTAGTCTGAGCTAGCTTGAGCTAGTCTCTGTCCCCAGTGGTTCTCCCTGGGTCTGCTGTTCTAGAGCCACAGAAGCCAGGAACAGGTCCTGCAGAGGGTGGTGGGCAAAGGGACAGGCTGGACTGGGAGACAAAACTGTTGTGACTACGGTACTGAGAGTGACCTGAGGTAGATGCCTGCCCCTCTCAGGGAGATGAGTGGGGATCTTGTATAAGCTAGCCTCTGAGGGCCTTTCTGGCTTCTAGGAGGTTCCACTGGAAGCTATCCATTCCTTCCTGCTGGGCTGTCTCAAGGCCTCCCTTGCTACAACTGCGGAGTGGCCCTTTGGACACAGCCGTGTAGTGGGTGGGATCCTGGGGACCTCCCTGTTTCCTTCAGGCTGAATCTTAGGCCCCAGCACTAGCAAGGACAGGAGAGGGAGGAGCTTGCTGGGCTGGATAAGTGCTTGGTGGCAGAAATACCCTCTCCACACCCACAGTCTAGTGCTCAGAATAGTAGTAATAAAAATAATACCAGCTAACCCTTATATAATGTTTACAGTTCAAAGCAATTTACATATATTAACACATTTAAAACCTCATAACCTCACAACCCTATGAGGTAGATAGTATTCTAATTCTCATTTTACAAATAAAGAAACTGAGGTAAAAGAGGGTAAGTCATTTCCCCAAGGTTACATGGCCAGGAAGTGGCAGA